ACTGACTCTACTGAGTAACAACATATGTCAAGTCACCCTTTACCTTGCGGCTTAGGGCATCAGCAACTACATTTGCCTTCCCCGGATGGTACTGGATCGTACAATCATAATCCTTGACGAGCTCTAACCAACGGCGCTGTCTCATATTGAGTTCCTTCTGAGTAAATATGTATTATAAGCTCTTATGATCGGTAAAAATTTCACATTGACCGCCGTATAGGTAGTGTCGCCAATCTTGAGGGCATGAACAACTGCAGCTAATTCCAAGTCGTGCGTCGGATAGTTCTGTTCATGTGATTTAAGTTGGCGTGAAGCATAAGCAACGACTTGGCCATCTTGCATAAGTACACATCCCAAACCCTGCCTCGAAGCATCACTATAGATGGTGAAACTCCGAGAAGGTTCTGGAATAGTCAACACCGGTGCCGTCGTAAGCCTCCTTTTCAGCTCCTGAAAACTCGACTCACAACGGTCTGTCCATTCGAGCTTTATAGACTTCCTCATCAACTGAGACAAAGGGAGGGCAATCTTCGAGAACCCCTCAATAAACCTGCGATAATAACCTGCATGGCCGAGGAAACTACGAACCTCGGACGGATTCTTCGGTGCTGACCAATTCTGAACTGCGGCAATTTTGGAAGGATCAACTTCAATACCTGCTTGAGTAATAATGTGGCCAAGAAAAGCCACTCGCTGAAGCCAAAACTCGCACTTGGAGAATTTTGCATATAATTTCTCACGTCTAAGGGTCGAAAGAACGGCCCTCAAATGCTCCTCGTGCTCCTTATGGCTCTTGGAATAAATAAGAATATCGTCGATAAAGACAATAACAAACTGGTCGAGAAAAGGATAAAATACACGGTTCATCAAGTCCATGAATACTGTCGGGGCATTACTGAGGCCAAACGGCATAACCACAAACTCGAAGTGACCGTATCTCGTACGAAAGGTTGTCTTGGGTATATCTGACTCCTTGATTTTCAGCTGATGGTAGCCTGAACGCAAATCAATCTTGGAAAACACGCAGGCACCCCGCAACTGATCAAATAAATCATCGATTCTGGGAAACGGATATTTATTCTTGATCGTCAACCGGTTAAGATCCCGGTAGTCGATGCACATACGCATGGATCCGTCCTTCTTCTTAACAAAGAGAACGGGTGATCCCCAAGGAGAAACGCTCGGTCGTATAAAACTGAGATTCAGCAACTCTTGAATTTGGGTCTTTAATTCCTGCAATTCTTTAGGTTCCATTCAGTACGACGCCTTAGAAACGGGTCCGGCTCCAGGGATAAGATCAATAGGAAACTCCACCTGTCGACTAGGTGGACCTCCGGGAAGCTGGTCTGGAAACACGTCCACAAACTCACGAACAATAGGAATATCATAAGGTGAACAGGCCTTTGGCTCATTTCCAACGAGGTTCACAAGGTAACCCTGGCAATCACCCCGTCGAAGGATCTTTCTGGCTATTGCCATATAAATAACATGAGGCATAGTACGAGTCTTGGAGCCGTAATAAGTGATCTGATCATCTCCCGGAAGATAAAGAGTAATCTCCTGTTCGTGACATCGAATATCTGCGTGAAAACGTGTTAGCCAATCCATACCGAGTATGAGGTCAAAATCCCTCATCTCGATAACATAAGCATCAATAATCAGAGTACGGCCACCGATGGAAAGGCTGAGATCGGTGGCTCTAGCGTCAGTCACTATCTTTCGTCCCGAGGCTAAACTCACCTCGAGAGGATCGACAGCGGTAGTGGAACGAACCCCAATAGCTTCAAGACATCGACGTGATATAAAGGAATGGGTCGCTCCAGTATCAAATAAGGCATAGACAGGCACATCATTAAGAATAATCATCCCGGACATGGTACCTTGGTGCTGGTCGGCCTCCCTCTGGTCAACTGCAAAGACGCGGGCCTGCTTGATACGGAAGTGGTCATCAATCCAGGCGAGTCGGAGGATGAAGGTGGCGATGGTCTCGATATTTTGCTAGAAAATATGTTGGAGGAGCCATCTAGTCCTATTTACCGGCCATCATGTGTGAGGGATTGGCCAAAAGGATGTAGTCCACGAGCTAAACTTAAGCCTAGGAGACACAAGACCAAAAGAGCTCAAAGGAAAGGCAAGGCAAAGGCTAAAGAAGAGAAGTGTTGGTGCAAGCCTTGTGTAAGGAAAAGGCTAGTGCGCAAGATGGAGGCTCGAAGGCAAGGTATGAGTAGAATGGAAGATGGTTGGATTTGGAGAGCTGGTGACTGTATAGGGTTGGATGGATGGGATCCATGGCCGTCGGGAGAGCTTAAGGGATCGGGCGAGCACTTGGAGTCGGTCGGCGACAAGGGTGCGAGCACGAGCGAAGAACGCGCATCGTGCCATGATGCGTGTGATAAGGTGGGGCACACGGCGTCGAGTGCACGCGGGTGCGGAGGAGAGGATCGGAGCAAGGCGGTTGACTGGGACGCGTTGGCGTTCGGCGGCAAAGTGACGGGAAATAGGGGTGCGCAAAGGGAGCACACGTGGATGGAGGCCTAGGCCTAGGGGGCCTAGGAAAGGCGGCAGTGCACGCGTGCGGAGAAGCCAGCAATGGCGCGGGGCTCGCGGGCAGCAGCGAGTGGACGTACGCGGGCGAAGGCCTAAGCCGTGTAGGCTTAGGCGAGACGGGCGATGCGCTGGCAGGTACGGACCGCAACCGCGTAGGCAAGGGAGTACGGGGCGACGGCACACACGCGCAAGAGGAGGGCAGCGGCAATGAGGAGCGCGCGAGTGTAGCGGATTGTAGCGCAGGCGCGGAAGTCCTAGGCGCGGCAGGATTAGGCGACGCAGGGGCGCTGGGCACGCACGCGCGAGGTGGAGTCGGTGGACGCGGCGCGCGCGCGAAGGACGCTGCGTGGGAGTCAAGCGCGCGGGTTACCGCGCGCCAAGAGGAGTAGGAAAATGTGAGGCAGCGCGCGCAAGCTGGCGGACGCGCGCGACGCGTATGCAAGGCGACCGAGATTTGGAGACTTGGAGTATTCTAGAATTGCTTGGTGTGCAAGCCAAGCAATAGTTATTTGGTAGTAGTAGGATTTTATTACTTTCTAGTGTTAGGATTTCTATTATTGCAAGATTTAGGAGATCTAGTATAGTTAGGCTTAGATTTATTTTGCAACTATAAATACCCCATGTACCTCATCATTATGAGAAGTGTTGAATTGAGTATTGAATTGGTGAGCCAATTGAGAGGGGAACTTATGTTCTTACGTGTGTTTAAACAAGGCCGTTAGTGCGTGTTTACATACAGTGTCGGACAGAAGGCCATTAGAGCGTCTTGAAGTCATGGTGTCTAGGAGAAGGCCGATAGTGCGTCTGTTAGATACACCTATCGTGGACAAACATATCTTGATGAGCTTCATGAGAGAAGGAATATTGAACAGTACGAGCGTCAACTCATGGAAGCTCGAGGAGCGATGGTGATCGATGCTCATGACCATGAAGATGAAGGAAAGCTGAATTTTCTGATCCTTGAGAACACGGAAAATCTCGAAGAGGAGGGGAATGATACGGAAGTGGTCATCAACCCAAGCGAGTCGGAGGACGAAGGTGGCGATGGTCTCGATATTTGGCTAGAAAATATGTTGGAGGAGCCATCTAGTCCTATTTACCGGCCATCATGTGTGAGGGATTGGCCAAAAGGATGTGGTCCACGAGCTAAACTTAAGCCTAGGAGACACAAGACCAAAAGAGCTCGAAGTAAAGGCAAGGTAAAGGCTAAAGAAGAGAAGTGTTGGTGCAAGCCTTGTGCAAGGAAAAGGCGAGTGCGCAAGATGGAGGCTCGAAGGCAAGGTATGAGTAGAATGGAAGATGGTTGGATTTGGAGAGTTGGTGACTGTATTGGGTTGGATGGATGGGATCCATGGCCGTCGGGAGAGCTTAAGGGATCGGGCGAGCACTTGGAGTCGGTCGGCGACAAGGGTACGAGCACGAGCGAAGAACGCGCATCGTGCCATGATGCGCGTGATAAGGTGGGGCACACGGCGTCGAGTGCACGCGGGTGCGGAGGAGAGGATCGGAGCAAGGCGGTTGACTGGGACGCGTTGGCGTTCGGCGGCAAAGTGACGGGAAACAAGGGGTGCGCGAAGGGAGCACACGTGGATGGAGGCCTAGGCCTAGGGGGCCTAGGAAAGGCGGCAGTGCACGCGTGCGGAGAAGCCAGCAATGGCGCGGGGCTCGCGGGCAGCAGCAAGTGGACGTACGCGGGCNNNAATGTTATTTATGTGATTTAGTTCGAGTAGCGCCACTGATTTATGAAAAGAAATCTGAAAAATTTAAGTTGACTTTTGACTTTCGTCAAAATAAAAGTGGGGCGTTACAGCGCGATAGCGCGCGAGTGTAGCGCAGGTGCGGGAGTCCTAGGCGTGGTAGGATAGGCGACGCAGGGGCGCTGGGCACGCACGCGCGAGGTGGAGTCGGCGGACGGGGCGCACGCGCGAAGGACGCTGCGTGGGAGTCAAGCGCGCGGGTTACCGCGCGCCAAGAAGAGTAGGAAAGGGTGAGGCGGCGCGCGCAAGCTGGCGGACGCGCGCGACGCGTATGGAAGGCGACCGAGATTTTGAGACTTGAAGTATTCTAGAATTGCTTGGTGTGCAAGCCAAGCAATAGTTATTTGGTAGTAGTAGGATTTTATTACTTTCTTGTGTTAGGATTTCTATTATTGCAAGATTTAGGAGATCTAGTATAGTTAGGCTTAGATTTATTTTGCAACTATAAATACCCCATGTACCTCATCATTATGAGAAGTGTTGAATTGAGTATTGAATTGGTGAGCCAATTGAGAGGGGAACTTATGTTCTTACGTGTGTTTAAACAAGGTCGTTAGTGCGTGTTTACATACAGTGTCAGAGAGAAGGCCATTAGAGCGTCCTGAAGTCACGGTGTCTAGGAGAAGCCCGATAGTGCATCTGTTAGATACACCTATCGTGGATAAACGAAGGCCCTAGTGCGCGTTTATTCACAACCACCGAATAGAGTAAAGACACGATCCGTTATCACTGCTATCTGCCGCGTGGCTGTTGCTGGGGTCGTGGTGGCTACTGCCTGGGCTGCTGTTGTTGAGGTTGTTGCAGTGGTTGACGTTGTTGTGGTTGTTGTTGCTGTCGTTCGGGACAGTTGGGGCTGATATGGCCTGGCTGGCGGCAAAGGAAACAGATGTTCTGGCCCACAAGACATTCTCCACGGTGGTGTTTTCCACATGTTGGGCAAGCTGGTATTTGTCTGGGATGGGTCCTCCGGTCATCAAGAGTGTTTCTGAACTTCCTCTTCTTCTGGTTCTTTGAAGGTTGGGCATCTTTGGGCTGGGCTGGTGGCTGAGCAACTGGCTGGACTAATGTCTGGGCGGCTTCTCGTCAGATACTGGCATCGACTTCTTATGCAATAGCAACTGTACGGGCGTAGGTCTGAACGCCGTGACCCACGATGTTGTGGCGGACTGCTGGGCGAAGTCCGTCGGTGAAACGATGAGCTCTCTTCGCCTCCGTACCTACAAGGTCAGGTACAAAGGCTCCGAGACGGGTAAATTCTCTCTCGTACTCGTCAACAGTACGAGTACCCTGGATGAGTGCCAAGAACTGGCGCTCCATGTCTGCACGGTAATACGAGGGATAATACTTCTCTCAGATCAACTCCTTGAATTGGTCCCACGTACAACCTTCTTTCTCGCCGGGACGCATACTCCAATAGGCATTCCACCAGAGTCGGGCATCCCCGGTCAGCTGAATTTGGGCACATAACATGCGATAACGATCAGGGCAATCCATGACCTCGAAAATCATCTCGAGGCCCTTAATCCATTCATCTACTATACAAGGATCTCCTTGGCCGGAAAACTTTTCTGGTTGGTAGTCGCAAAACTGTGCGACTACGGTGGCCTGGGAGTGTTCCTGGTGTTCTGGGTCTCTACGATGAGGCATCTGAACATTGAAATGTTTAACATGATTAAATAACATAAGAGATTAACTGATTAACTGCTTAAGTACACAAATTTCTTGACGAGTCGCTAAATAACCCGAGAATACTAAAGTCGAACTATCAAGTAACTGAGACAATCGACTAGGTTCTGAATATATTCGAGCATCCTACTGACTTCTAAGGTCAATTATCTGATACCCTCGTACTGAGCATAAACTTAAGCATTCGTTTAAATATATATAAACTATAACTCAGCACTTACCTGATAGTCGGCGAGGCGTGAGCGTAGCGTGGTCGGGTCTTTTCTGAAAATTTCTGACTTAAAAGTATTCATATACACGAAAATGTGCTCTGATACCAATTTGTAACACCCCGCTAGCTTACTAAAATCAGAGTGCGATTTTCGCAAATTCTTTTCTAAAATGTATGTTTTAGTTTGCGAAATCATGTCTCGGGATGCTACAGAAAAATATTTTTTTTTTTCTAGAAATCCGTTAACTTATTAACTTTAAACTTATTTATGAAAAACGGATTATCTTTTATAAAACAAGCGTGTGATACTGTATAGAATCTGACCCAAAGACTCGGATCGTTATCTGAAAATTTACACGCTAGTTTTAAAAGTCTTAAAACATTAGCGGAAGTAAAAACGTGGCAAATAATATACATATAATAAGTCTGCAAAAGCATAAATACATATGTACTGCACCGACGACCACCAACTCCGCTCACTCCTCCTGACCGACCCTGTCACCAGAAAAAGAATCATAATAGTGGGAGCGTGATTGCTAAATCACTGTACTCCGCAGAAACACATACTGAATAAAACAGTAATAATAATTGCATCATCATGATCAACGCATGTATATCTGCTGCTATCTGTAACTGCTCGTCAACAGTATAAACTGGACGTGTCTGCGGACTGTAATAAACTCAGCCGGAACCATGTGCACACCCTAGTGGTCAGATCTAGCCACTAGAGCTCGGAGTGGAATTACGCAAACTGGCCACCACTCTAAGCGGAACTGATATATACATACCTCACATGATAGCTATAATTATACTCAATGTAATACTCAGTTTGGGTCCCCACCTGAACTGCTAATGTAAGTGCTGCTGCCGATCACTCTGAAAAAAAATATATAAATAAGCAAATACTAAGTACTATGCTCAGACTGACTGAAAATAGCTGTTAAGATGCTCGACTCCATCTAAATACTTAAATGGAATATTCTCGACAGTTAACTTGACTGACAAGATAAACCGGACTGAACTGAAACCGGTGTACTGGACTGACTGGACTGAAAAATTGACTGAAATATTGTACTAGACTCGGACCGGATCAGAAAATACTGAAAAGCTCAAAAATTCGGTCTAAACCGGCCGGTTCATTTTCTGGCCGGACCGCCGACTCGCTGCAGTCGGGCGG